GCAACCGCAACCGCAACAACAACGACAACAACAACAACAAGAACAACAAGAGCAACAAGACCAACAAGAACAACAAGAACAAGAACAACAACAACAGAAGCAGCAGCAGCAGCAACAGCAACAGCAACAGTCACAGCAACAGCAGTTGTAGCAACAGCAACAGCAACAGCAACAGCAACAGCAACAGGAACAGCAACCGCAAACGCAAACGCAACCGCAACCGCAACGACAACGACAACGACAACAACAACAACAACAATAACAACAACAACAACAACAAGAACAACAAGAACAACAAGAACAACAAGAGCAACAAGAACAACAAGAACAACAAAAACAAGAACAACAACAACAGAAGCAGCAGCAGCAGCAGCAGCAGCAGCAACAACAACAAGAAGAACAGCAGCAGCAGCAGCAGCAACAACAGCAACAGCAACAGCAACAGCAACAGCGACAGCAGCAGCAGCAGCAGCAACAACAACAACAGCAAGAACAACGACAGCAACAGCAACGGCAACGGCAACGGCAACGACAACGGCAACGCGAACGACAAGGACAACGACAACGACAACGACAACCACCACAACCACAACAACAAACACAACCACAACAACAGCAACAGCAACAGCAAGAGCAACAACAACAACAACCACAACAACAACAACAACAACAACAGCAGCAGCAGCAGCAACAACAGCAGCAGCAGCAGCAACAACAACAACAACAACAACAACAACAACAGCAACAGCAACAGCAACGGCAACAGCAACAGCAACAGCAACAGGAACAGCAACAGCAACAGCAACAGCAACAGCAACAGCAACAGTCACAGCAACAGCAACAGCAACAGCAACAGCAACAGCAACAACAACAACAACATCATCATCAACAACAACAACAACAACAGCTGCGACAGCAACAGCCACAGCCACAGCCACAGCCACAGGCACAGCCGCAGCCACAGCAACAGTAACAGCAACCGCAACCGCAACCGCAACAGCAGCAACAACAGCAACAGCAACAGCAACAGCAACAACAGCAACAGCAACAGACAACGACAACAACAACAACAACAACAACAACAACAACAACAACAACAACAACAACAACAACAACAACCAGCGCAGCGTTTGTGCAGAAAACGTCTTATTGCACTACCCTAACCCTGCCCATAAAGTGCTTGCTAGAAGAGCCTGGCTGGTATACGCGCACTCCTGCTTCTCCTGCACGGGGGCTGCCAGTCGCGCCGTGGCCTGCCGTGCCTGGCAGCTGCTGGTTGTCGTTGACTGCGCTTGTGGCAGGTCAACAACCAAGACCGACTGCCGGCCTGCACAAGGCGCGCCGCCGGAGGGGGTTGGAGGAACCCCGAAACTTGCCTGGAAGAAGGGGCGGCGTGCCAGCCTACTCCCCGCCGCAAAACCCGCGCTTGCAGGCATGCAGGTCCAGAATGGACAACGGCATGGGAGATCCAGTTTGGCCGAACCGGGTGCACTCAGACTAACCTGCTTGTGCTGTGCTGTTGTTTGATGGTGCCGGGGCGTTCGATCTTATGTGCCGAATCGTATGCTCAGAGTTGCTCGCGACGCCCCCTTCGGCCAATACCCCGCCTTCGCTGGGCCCAGGGTTGATGCCCATGGCCAGGCGCACCGCATCAGCTGGAGGGGGTGAGGCAAGGCGACCCCTTGGTACTTGCGCTCCTCGCCCGGCTTTATCTCAGTTTTTGTTTTTTTCGACTGAGTTCTAGCCCGGCGATCGCGAACGTGTGTCCGCCTTCTCTGATGACCTCGACGTCCGGACTGGAGCAGCTCCCACCCTGCATCCGGCATTGGCCGGATCCGTGCGGGTGAGCCAATGAACGGGCGGCTTAAAAATGATTAGGAAGAAAAAAACGCCAGGGTGCAACACACTGAAATGGCGTCGTCGTGATTCTTTGCCAAGGCACGAGTGATTGCTGGCGGCACGACGCGGGAACATCAAGGGCCAAGTGCACCCCTGTCTGTTTGGCGACCACCAGACCGACCAAGACTGCCCGGCTTTTGGAGCCCAGGGGGGAAAAGGTTTGAAGCATTGCCAGGGTGAGCTCATGGAAATGCTGAATTTGTTTTCGCAGGCGACATGGCTCAACCAGACTTAGCACAAATCGTTCCACGTTTCCGGCCGATAGCCTTTACTGCTGTGGCTTACTGGCGAAGTCCAGCCGGAAGATCAACATGGTAATGAAACACATAGCTGACAGCAAGGCAAAACCTTGGAGGAGCTCGCGCAGTGTGCCTTTTGGACGTCTCGCGTGGGCGCGTCGGAGAGCAGCGCCCCTTCCCTTGGCCCAGTTGCTGTCACCAGTTTTTTTCCCTTTTGCATGGCGCACTTCAGGGCCAACCAGCCCTTCCTTCCTTTGGTGCCCGTCTTGGTGAAACGCATGCTGCAAGTGCCACCTTCCCCCCTGTCTGTGTGTCACAAGCTGTGCCCCTTCCTGCCCTAATTCGCCCTTCAAACACACGACCTGCAAGCGGCATGTCTTGCCCTTCTGCTGTCCCCGGCTTGTTTTGGTTGACCCGTCCTGCCCCGAACTCGATGAAGCATGGCGCGATGCATTTAGGGGGACCTTATGCATTTTATGTTTATGCATTTTTCTCCCCACGTAGAATCCATAGTGCGCTATCATACGTTATTCGTGAGATTACATGATATTTGCTTTGCCATCATGTCTGGTCACATGTTGAAACAATCCTTGGCGCCACCCCTGCGCCACCTTTGTTGAAAGTCTAGTTTTTTTTTTTTGTTTTTTTTTTTTTTGCGGGGGCGAAAAAAACAGCTGCCTGACTCCGCGTGCATCTTTTTACTTTGTTGGATTCCTTCATCCCGGTGGCGTCTCGAACCCTTTGGTTGCACTCGGGGCTAGTGCATCGCTAAGCCATCGCGTTAAGAAAACGTGCAAATCCGTTTAAGCCCAGCGGCCGGAAGCAGATTTCGTGGCGCGGCAGCAGATTTCAAGCCTGAAATCCGCTAGCACGCTGGCAAATCCGCTTACGCCCAGCGGCCGGTAGCAGCGGCCGAAAGCCGCTCTTGGCTGTCGACCTGCCGCTGCGCGAGTGTGGATGGACATGCTCCTTTGGATCCCCCGGCGCCGTCCTGCCCTATGATCCTGTTGCGGTTCCTGTCCCTGTCCCTTTTCCCTGCTCCCCGGACTGCTGTCCCCCTCCCTGAACCGCAGCCGCCCGCAAGCCCCGCTTGGGCTACCCGAGGCCCCCTCTCCAGCGGCCCGCTGCTGGGGTGAACAGCTGGTTGTTCCAGATGCTTGGCAGCCGGGCTCGCCGCTGCCCCGCCAGCCCCCGCAGATCCACCGAACTTCCCCGCAGATCCACCGGACTTCGCCGGCTGGCACTTGGCCAGGCCCCTAGACCCCAAGCCCCGCCCTTGTGACTTGGTCTGCCGGCGCTGCCTACCCACCCACGCCTCAGCGCCCAAGGGGCGCCTGTGCTGCCCTGCCTGCCTCGCCCTAGCGCCAGCCTCGCGAGCGCTTCTGCGGTCCCAGAGTGGCGCGCAATCCGGCACATGGCTTGCAGCAGTCCCGTGCGATCCGGGCACGACGCTTTCGCTTGAACACATGCACCTCGCTTTGCGCAGGCGCTTGAGGTTGCCACTGCCCCTGACGCAGCTGCCGGGCGGTGGACGCGAGGCCGATGTGTTGGGTGACCATCGGGTCTCCCCTCGTTCCGGCTTGCTTGCCCGTCGCGCCCTGGCCGTTGAGCAAGCATGGGTGCGAGTTGCGCGCGAGGCGTTTCAGCCCGGTCCGCAGTGATGGCCGGCCACACGCCGGCGCTGCGGATCGCGATGGCGTCGCGCTGTCCACAGCTGTGCAGCGGAAGTGCACGCGGCATACCCGGGGCTAGGCCAGTTTGGCCCGCAGCGCTTGGTCTGAGGACCGCCGCGAGTGCTGGTGCACAAGGACGCGGCAAGTACGATGCGTGGCACAAGGCCTGAACTCCCAGCGACGTTGTCCCGCGGCTCGGGGGGCCGGCACTCGAGGCCGGTGAGTGCTTCCCAAGTTGCTCCCAAGTTGCCTCGGGCGCAGAGGATCAGGCGTCCTGCGCAGGGCCCACGTCTTGTAATGCATGGCGAGCGTTACACTCACTTTCCTGTTGGTGCAACGCCGGTCTCCAAAACAGAGGCGCCGCTGGTGGGGCATCCTGGCCGTCGCGCAACAGAAAGTGCTGACCTCCGGCCTGCTTGGCGGTGGGCCACGGCTGCCATGCCGGCCGCTGCATGATGCGCGCCCGCCCCCGGCGCTGCATACAGCCGCCCTCGTCGACGTGCGGAGACAGGAGGAGAAGAGAAAAAGAAAACAACACACAAGGCGGTTGCGGGCGCCTAGCCACGCAACGCAACACCACTCCGGCCCAGCGGGCCATCGCGCGGCAGCACGTCCGCTAGCGCCCTTTTCGCGTTTTGTTTTTCATGTGTTTTTTTTCCCCCCCTTTTTCTCCTTAAAAACAGAAATGGAAACGTGTTTTTTGCCTGGATTTTTGGACATGTCTGCAAACCACAGTGTGTGTGTGTGTGTGTGTGTCTGTGTGTGTGTGTGTGTGTGTGTGTGTGCGGGTGTGTGTGTGTGTGTGTGTGTGTGTGCGTGTGTGTGTGTGTGTGTGTGTGTGTGTGTGTGTGTCAGTTTTTCAATTTTTTCCCATTGTGTTTCCTCTTTTTTTTCCCCCTCTTGAGCTCATTAACTTGGGCCCAGCCCAAAAAGGAAGATACCCACAACGAGGTGGATTGTGACGCTGCGCAGCAAGTTCAAGTTGAGCAACGGCAGGTGTTTTTTGCAGTTTCTTGTGCCAGGCGGCGTGTTTTCTGCAAGCAATTTAGGCTATCATGATGTTGCCAGCATCCATTAAATATGCACCGCCTCGCCTTGCGTGGTTTGCTCCAATTAGCGTCTCCAGGGTAGTGCGAAGAAGAGCCGAGGATTTGTCACAACAGTATCAATACGAATTGAAGTTAGGCCGTATTGATGTGTCCTTCGATGTGGGGCTAGCGATGCCCGCTACAGCGCCTGAGTTGGGTTTGTCACTTGGTGGCACTTAATGGGATCGGGCATGGTTGCCGGTTGTCCGCAAGCAGGGTGCACAATTTACAGGCGTGCCGGATCTTCCACTTTCCTGGCAGGGCTGGCAGTTGAACCCAGCCTCGTGTGCGCCTCCAATCAACTGTGCCCCATTACACTGTGCCCAGGAGCCTGACGGATGACCACTGGCGATGTCGCAAGGCGGGCATTGTTTCCTTGAAACGCGTGGTCCTCACCAACATGTCCCCGAGCAAACAAAACGCAGTTGTTGAGGGGCCCAGGTTCCGGGTTGTCCTCTTCGGTCCTTAGCTCTCGTCTTCCCCTTTCCGAGCCCACAATCGTAGCAGCAATCTCCAAGCAAGGGTTTTGCTCAGAAATCATTGTCACTTTGGTATTTGCTGGTTAGAAATTGTTTTGCAATGGTCCGGCAAGGAGAAATCGCTGTTTTAGTTCGGTTCGAATTTTGCCACACAAATAGTATTCCTTTAGTTAAATAGAAGAAGGGATTTATGCCTGAGTCAGAGGGCACTGCATTGAGACATGTCCATTCTTGCTCACCTCGGTTTCATGTAGCACTAACTTCCTGAGTTCATGAACGATTGAAACCGCCCGTCGTGTGGTTTTTTTGAGGGGGGGCTTCGAACAGTTTCGTTGGAGGAGGCCTGTGAGAAGATCCTGCGCCTGGACACGGGCTCGGGGCAGCTGGCCGGGCGCCCTGGAGGTGGTGTAAGGTCCGTATAGCTCCTAGAATGCTGGTTCGGGAGGGGGGTGAAGCTATGCGATGGAAATAAATAAATAAAAAAGTAAAATACACAAATAGATAAATAAATACATGAACAAATAAGTAAATAAGTTCAAGCCAACTCCACCTGTTGACCCCGGATTAATGTTGATATGCGGGTGTCGACCTGGTTTTAGTGGGGGGTTGTCACTTAGGGTTTCTAGATGTTCCTAGTGTGGCAATGATTGCGCAGTTGATGTGTCGGGTTCTACAACTCAGATGTGAGGCGTTGTCTAAGCATTGATCAGGCGCACAGGGTTGCCAATTATGCAAATGGGTTCGTCATGAATTTGTGGAATCCTGTCCCCTGTTTGTATGTGGCATGGATATGACATGGTGATAAAGAAACGTATGCTGTAGCCCCTTCTTGAAATATGGAAATGTATGCACTATATCAGTGAGCTCCCCAATCTCGCTCTGATCCCCCTTTCGCCACTGGTCCTGCTTTCCTAAAGCATTGGCTGGCGGACTTGCGTCTCCAGCCAGCAGAAAACAGAACCATGTGGGTGCAAGGACGTGCGGGACCTCAAGACTTTGGTGCATTTTGCTTGGATGTGAGGACTTTAACTTTTTGCCAACGAAGAGGTGTTCCACTAAACCAGGAAAAACGAAATTTTTTAGCAGGGGAGCAGAAAGCCACCGAGAAGAAATAGGGCGCGGGTTTGGGCGTTTGGGGGTCCATGGCCAGGTCTTCAACCGCCTCACGGCCACCTTGAGCGATGGTAACTTGCGCGTACGGCGCGCTGGCCCGGGGCCCGGCCCCGTTGCGAAGCGTCGGTGGATGTCGGCGGGGAGAGGCGGCATCCAGCGATGAAAAGAGCCCGGTGCTCATCATGCTGTGTCTGAGGGATCGCTGATTGGAGGCTTCGGGAAGATTGGACAAGTAGATATGTGGTTTTGTGGTGTGGTCATGGGCGCGCCCAACTTTTCGTAGGTTGAAACGGTCGCCCTACCGGCGTGTAAGGGGCGCCTGGCATCCAGCAGACGTTTGTTTGCGCCCATGGGTCTTCGTGCTTTAAGAGCCACACGAATAGCGGCTGTTCAAGCCGTAGTGTCAACTTCGGATTTGTCTAGGGGACCCTGCTTATCCGAGGACCCTCCTGAAAAGAATCATCTCCTTACAAAACGGGAACCCTCCGAAATAATGTTGAAACATTGTGTTCGAACATGCTATAACAGTTGGCCCAGCCCCACCCTCCCTTCATGGAAAGCCACAGATGGGACATGAAACTTTCATGAAACTGCAACTTCTTGTTGTTTTTTTGTTTGTGGGGTATGGAACTTCGAACCCTCTTTGTGCATCTTGGAGCTCGATGTTCTTTCACCAAAAGGAGGCCACAAGGACGCAGACTCTTTTTTTCCAGTCCCCTCCCCCTCAATGGATGACATCCGTCATCCCAGGTGCCAGCACGCTCGCCGGGATGTGCCTACCAGAGGCATGGCATGGGTTGGGGCCGTCACTAGAGAAGCCCCCACACTGGATATTTTTGTGGTTGAAGTTGGGCCGAATGGGCCCTTGAAGTTTTTAGGGACACGTGGAGTTCCCCACTAACCAGCGAACAGTTGGAGCTGAGCTGATGGCGGTGGTTTATGCCACTTTGGTGCCCCTCTATATGTACTCAACTAGGCAATGTCGCACTAATTGGGCCAATACATGCAGATTTTGCTCTGATGTGTCGTGCGTTGAAAATCAAGTGCGGCAACTTTGACATCCTTTGCCTCTTGCATCGTGCCTTGCACCAATGGAACCCGGTGCCCTGGTTGAAAGTGCCCTGCCGGGTCAGTGTGGGGCATCGAGTAAATTAAGGTGGCCCCTCGGCCTTATTACTGAAGGGATTCAGTTCTGCCCCAATCTCATCTTTCAAAGGTGGGCTTTCTTGCTTTCGTGGCACCTTCCCTCACGTGTCAGCCTTGCCAAAGTTTTTGGACGTGGTGTTAGTGTCCATGGCTTCCACGTGCTCCCTCGGATTCGTGTGAGAGTCCAGGACACTCTGTATCTCACATGCCTGATTTTGTGCCAGCCTTCCCCTTCCCTCTGTGCCACCCCCTCTGTCGGTCGAGGGCGCGCTTCTCTCTTCGTGGCCTCGCCTCTGCCACTCTTCGCACTCGATGCTCCAAGTTGTTGCCATGATCTTTATCGCGGGTTCGTCTGGCTGGGTTTTCTGTCTCAGTTGCCGCAGGGCAACTGCCTTTGCGCTTGGGGCTTTTTGTTTGTTCTTTGTCTTCTCCGGTTCGATGCGCGTCTTAGATGGGTATTTCAACCAACCATAGCGATGCGGGAGCGGACAGTTAGTCTTGGTGGCCTTGAATTTGTGTTTTTTTTGTCTCCCGGCAGCGTTTCTTGAATCACGCGGATAAGTACTTTTGAGGGTGTCGTTTGATGGACAGGATTGTAAAACGGTGAGTGGCAGCCGTATGCCGGCCTAAATGCGAAACGCATAGCGCCAGCCTGCAACAGCATTCTGCCACCATCGCCAGCCACACCCTGCATTTGCAACCTGCTGCAGCGCTCTGCAAAAGTGTCCCGCGGAAGTCTCACTTGACAGCAGCGACCTGTCTTTTTTAGAGGGGGGTTCCCGTTAAAATTTCTGTACCAAAAAACAAAACGCCGCTTCTTTTTCCATTGAAACCTTGGCTATTAGATTCGTAGTTTTGGGCGCCCTTTAGATTTTCCCTAGGGCAACTTTTTTACGCACCGGGATGGCAAGTCCATTGGGTTCAGGCATCTGGGCCAGAACAAACCGAACTGAAATCGCTGGTTTCACTGGGGTCCACATTATTACCTACCCGGGGTAATGTTCAGGTGAACAATGAAAGCGGCAGAGGGGGTCGCCCCCAAACGGGCTCTGTAGAAAACTGATGTAGCTTGTGCCAACAAAGAACCCTTCCCAGAACCCGTTCGTCCACAAGGCTGATTGTTGGCATCGCAGGTCTGGGGCAAGAAGCCGGCAGAGTTCGGTGCCCGGGCCGTGTCAGAGCTGTAGCCCGGCGAGAAATTGGTGGCGCCGTTTTTTTGTTTCATTTGGCGGGTGGGGATGGACACTTACTTCCTGTTGATATGAGCAGGGAATGTGGGAATGAACCCAGGGGTGCCCTTAAAGGGGACCACCAGTTGGATGGTCCCTGCTGAGCAGCAGCAAGCTTACCCTCTTTCTAACAATCATGGAAGTGGGTTCCCAGAGCTTACCCTCTTCCAAAACCCTCCTGTGAGCTTCCATGATTGTTGGAGGGAGGCTAGAGGTCATCTTGCAGCAAGTCCCAAATCTCACGAGACCTCACCAAGGTCTATGGTAACACCCTATCCGAAGGGAAGCTAACCTATGAAAAGGCCCGAAAAGCTTGAACATGTTTCGATCGGTCAAGTTTGCAGGTCGGAGATTGTTGACAGAACCCCGCAAAAATGTCCAGTTGGGACACCAAGTAATTTTGTCAAGCGCTCAGTGTCAAAAATGAGTGGGGCTTCCTATAGTTGGTTTCATGCCTTTCTGAGGCTTTCTTAGTTTAGATTAGCAGAGCCGGTCATTGGAAAATCCATGCGCATGACCCTACACGGGTTCTTGAAGATGCTTCTCAAGCTAGCCGCTTTGGGATTTCGCGGGACTACTTTTGGATGAATATGCAATGTGCTTGGTAAGTAGCTTGGCTGAATGCTTTTAAGTTAAGTCCTGCTGTTGCCCCAACGTTCTATCTGTTGAACCATAGGTAATGACCCACTAAATGGGCTGAATGTTGAACTGACTACTGAGTCCCTCGTTTGGTGTCCCAATTTGAGGGTGCAATTCGAGAAGACTTGCTTGCACCCTCTGCAAGTTGAAGCGCACAAGAGGCAGTTCCCTCAATGGAAACCCCTCGAAACATGGCGGCATTTCGGTCCCGTGGTTGATGAAGCGCTTCCAGGATGCGCAAGAATGATTAGGATAGCATCGCAGAAGCAGATGCCGGCCGAATATGAAAGGGGCGGCAGTCCCAATGTATCCAGTGGTCTTTTTCCTTCGAAGCCTTGGGCGTATTGGACATCCCAAGACACAAAATCTCAAGACACCAAATCCCATGGTTGCAAGCACATAAGTTTACCTGGATGAACATGTCGTGCTGAAGCCAACAGTGAAGGATTCCGGATTCATACCATCACGCCAAGGACATGCCACCTTGCAGACGCAGACCCCTTGGTTCGGAAGGCGGGGTGCAAGAAGAGTAAAACCACCCCTTGTGGTCCGAATCAGTTCACAGCCTTATGTCGTTATGTGTCGTTGACCCATGATTCTTTTGATCAACGCCAGCTTTGCGTCTCTTTCATCAAGGGCCAAGGGCCTGTTTTGAATGCATGCGACTCCACGATTGTCGACCAATGTTGGCCTATGGTGGCTAAGCAAACGTGGCTGAAATATCAGCAGAGCTGGCTCCCTACCTTAGCTCCTTAAAGCATGACCTCGCCAGGAGGGGACAGATAGGGAACCCTGCTGAATCTTGATCCCTTGAGGGTAGTGAGCTTTTCGCTGGACACATCTTGGGGCCTGTGATCCGCCTTCAGGTCCTCAGGCAGTCTTTTGCGGGATGCTTCACGGGAACACCTAAAGAACTCAGCCAAGAACACTATCTAATGGAGCCCACCTGACGAGAACCAATTTGCAGCCCATTTGGACCCAACCTAGTCTTAAACATGCTTGAGTTGGGCATATTTCCCAACATGTTCACCGAATGGTGGGACTTCATTTCCTACAGTCCTTTAGTTGTCCAAACATGTCCCTTAGTGCCTTATTAAAAACAGCAAAGAAAGCAATTCCCGCAAATGTAGAATACTTTCCCATACATGTCCCCTACCTTCCCCCATCTTCACCACCCCCCCCAGCTTTCGGGGGAGCCCTCGCCGACTTTTTCGTGGGGGGGTGAGGTGGCGCGGGAGCCGCTGGACCAGTTGCAGCGCCAGGCCCTGGCGCTGCACTCAGAACTTTCGGACTAGTCGCCGGGCCGGGGCGACTCTGCGCCCGTCGCAGCGTCGCATGTGGATCTCACGGTGTGCAGGTGTTTTGGCGGTTTAAAGGGTTCCAAATCTGGTCTTGGGGTCATGGCGCTGGGATGTGTTTGTCCTTGTCTTAGGGGAGAGAGCCCCACCAAAAGAAAGGAAAGACAGTTAAGTAGAAAGTTGTTGGTTTTCCCCTTGGTTTTCCTAAACGGCAAACAAGGTGTACCAACTGCAAACAAAGACACGTCCACTTGGGGTATCCGGTTGCTTGTAGTTCCTGGACATGTTGGAACACTTGTTTTTGGCGGTTTGGACCAAATGCCTTAGTCACATTGAGCCCCCGGCACCCAACCAACCGGCGCTCAAATAAAAAGGGATCTGCTTTCCAGCTGTACATCAGGCTGCCATTAGTCGGTTTGGACTTGTCCCCCCCCCCCCACCAAAACAAAACAAAACAAAACAAAACAATACAAAACAAAACAAAACAAAACAAAACAACAACACATGATGTTCGGTGTTCCTTTTGGCTTCCCTTCACAACCGCTGTAAAGGGCATCCTCAAAAGCAACAAGAACACACCAAATGCGCGTAAGCAACGATTCCCCTGCTTTGCGGTGACTTGGGAACGAAGGATGAGCTTTTGTCGCCAATCAACCTGTTGAGTTTGGACGGTGGGCCATGACAAGGGTTCCTGGTTTGGAGCCATGCCCATGACGCACACACACACACACAGCAACCTCCGTTTCGTATTGTCGCTTCGCCACTTCTTTGAGAATGATGCCGCTCGGCTAATGTTGATCAGTGAGTGATCAGTGCCTCGGCTTTATGCTTTGCCTCATGGACTTGACAGGATACAAAACTGAACTTCACTCTGACTTTGTTTTTTTTCCCGGCCATGAATTATCGTCTGTTTTATGGCCCCTTTTTCGGCCGGGGAGGCCGAAGACCACGACCCACATGAGGCACAATCAAAACCCGAGTAGATGAAGGTTAGTAAGGGAGAATCCCAGCCACTAAATGGGTGCATCGCCGCATCGCCGCCTTCTCAATTCTTTGCATGGCTCTGGGGAATGAGACGATATTAACAGCGGGTTTTGATTAATGCTGACCCAGGATTAATAAGCCCGTCCCAGTATTAGGGGGGTGTTCCCTCCAAAAGTGGTCTGAATCCCCACTAAAAGAGGACAACCCCCAATAACAAATCAACCAGTTTTTTTTCTTTTCTCCGGGGTTAACATTCTGAGCCGCATGAAGTTGAGACCCTGGCGCGTGCAGTCACCAAGGTGGGTGACGTGGTGGTGGCAGGCCAAGCGGCCCTGCCACAGCTGAAGGCCTCGAAATATGGCGGTGGCTTTGGCGAAAATCAGGGAACCCCATCATGGCACCTGGAGCCATGCGAGTGTTGTTTTGAAGCTTCTCAAAGGAAAACCAAAAGGGGAGGTAAGGTTTCGTAGAGTTGGTCGTGTTCTTTTCATGGGGCCTGGGGGGGAGGCAGGGGAGGGGGAGGGAGCCCAAATGACACCTAAAGGCCTTATTAAGGGCTTAATAAGGCTACCCCAGCCCCCATGATCTTTTGAAGCTTCAAAGGGAAACCAAAAGGGAGGTGAGGTTGTTAGAGTTTGTCAAGCCCCTGGAAGATAGCCAGACAAGAGTGGAGCTTTGGGAAGTACGTGATTCACGTCCTTTCATTGCTTCAAAGACCTCCACTTACGACTTGAGGACTGTTTGAAGGGGTCCTTGACCCAGCGACTCGGACCTCGTGGTGAAACTGCCAAAGATGGGCATGATTCACATCTCTTTTGGAATGATTGTGCATCTGAACGTTTGCTGAAACTGGTTTAGAATCTCAGAACGTGTTTTGGGTTGGGGGCCAAAGCTGAGGCAGCTTTCCCTTTGCGCTGGGAAAGAGCTGGCCGGGCTTTGTTGAACCAAGTGGTTTGTCCCCGCAGGGGACCTTGAACCTGTAAATAAGGCTGAAGTTTGCATTGTAGAGTTCGGTTGCTTGCTGGTGCAAGATTCGAAATGGAGGTTCCCGGCCGATTTGCGAGCAGTGGGCCTTTGCAGCGAGCAGTCTTTCAAGTTTGTTCTGTTTCCTGCGGTGTGGTGTCGGATGGCTCGCATTTCCGGCCAAGCGGGTGCCAGTTCTCCCAAACAGAGTCTGCGACCTTGGGTCATGTTGACCTTTTCCCTGCTCAGTCAGTCGGGGAGGCTCTCCAATAGTAAGGGTCCGGTTCCCTGTGTCAGGCCCGGCTGGCGGACGAGGACTCGAGATCCGAGCGGGGAGTGGGGAGATTGGTAGCACCTCCCCCGCGGGGTGTGGGTCTCATGATTCGTTCAGGTGACCCTGTGACAAAAATTCCTATTTGGAAAGTTCAGGAACTGGAAAATTCACTTTAGCCTGGAACTCCAAGGGCGCATGCCATGTCAAGGAGCCCACGTGTTACATGACTGTTTTTGGCTAGAAAAAGAATAGAGGATAGCATTGTTTCGTCTACATGCCCAGTGGGGGCATACTTAAATGAGGAATACCCTGGACTTGTACAGGGCCCATTCGCGACCTCCACAAGTTATCATGGCTGCGCGAGTGCCTACCAGGTTACCACTACCACGACCACAGGACAAGCTGTGAAAGTTATTGATTGGACCATGCAAATCCAAGGTTGGCAAATTGCTCGACTGACCGAAAAGGACAGCCCAATTGCCCAGCCAGTGTCATACTTGACCTTTTTGTTTTGGGCGTTCAACTCCTTTTGTTTGTCGCTCTTGGCAATTCATGTGGTCATTGTAGAGACGTCACATAGCAAAACTCAGCAAAATTGCCGCAACCTTCATGATGAAGGGTCTTTTCTTGTGCATGTCCATCCTGTTTCCGATTTCAGACAGTGATTTGCCATTATTTCAGCCAGACAGGTAAAAAAGCGACCCAGGTGACTCCTCAAATTTGTGGCTTTTCCTCTTTGAACCCCCCCATCCAAAGCAAACCGGCCAAGAGAACAGCCATCAGCGCGCCCTTGGCAGGTCAGGTGTCTCGTTTGTTTTCCGGAACCTGGGTCGGAGGTTTCGGGGAACAAGTCACCCAGGTTATGCAGCTCCCTCATGCAGCTCCTTGTCAGCTCCCCCTGAAAGGCTCCTTTCTAAAGCTCCTTTGCTAAAGCTCCGTATAAGCTCCCCGGGGAAAGCACACGCCGGGCCGAGAAGGCCTGTTCGACCTCCCAAGGGTTCCAGATCCATCGTCTGCTTCAGGACTGGCAGGTGCGGGACGCCACGGTGCGCGCGTTGGGCACCTTCGGCCCCGGAGCTTTGTCCCTGGCCCAGGCCGGTGCTTCGGTGCCTGGCGTTGCGGGCTGGGAGCTGGGAGGGGGAGGAGCACCCAAGATGTCAGAGGTGGGGAAAGGCCCATAGGCCATGCCAGGATTACCTGCAAAATGAACACTAGACCCTGGATATTTTTTGGACACCAGTTCTAGCCTGACCCTTCATCTTTTTGCACCCAGTTCTAGCCGTGCACCCCAGTTTCAAGCCTCTTGCTCGCTTGTGGTTGTTACAAGGGCCTTGCGAACCGTACCTGATGATCATGCTGATTTGAACATCACCCTTTCGGCCACTTTAATATGAGGGGGGAATAGCCGGTTCTTTTCAGCAATTTCTTCTTATCTTTTCCGTGCTTTTTGGTTGTCCAGAAAGCAGCCCTGGAAAGAAGTGACACCGACAAAACCCCGATTTTCATTTTTTGTTCGGCACTTTTGGGGGCCCAAGCGGCAGGATATGGCGCGGCTGCTGGCAGATGACAGCGCGGTGGTCCGGGGCTCCGCGAAGAATGCGCTGGACCGCAGTTGGTTCAGGGCCCGAGTGGCAATGTAGAAATGTGTATTCTCACCCCTTCGCCGGTCAAAATTTGTTTCTTTTTCTCTCTTGTTCTTTCAAAACATTGTGCGGGGGGACCCATGAAATTTCATTGTGAAGACAAGCAGAATAGATTTCCCCAAGGGCCTCCCACCCCTTGGTTCAGACATAGAAGTGCACGAGCTGGGGAAAGTAGTGGGAAGACTTCCCACGCCTTTCCTGTCAGCTTCCATGATTCTTGGAGTTAGGGCAATGGTGAGCACCCCTGAGCGTGCGTGTACGCCCTCCCAACAAAAGGAACAACAAAAAGAGAAGAACAAAACATAAACACAAGCCTGGAAAGCCATATGCCCAATCTTCCTATTTTGTTAATATTGGAGGCTCTGATGTCTCAAGCGCAATTCCAAACCGTGGGAAGTTGATGCTCATGTCACCCTCGGACCTTGCCCTCTGAAAGTGGTCATTGGGCCAGAGGAATCCTGCATTCCAATCCCCGGCCTGCTTGACAATCTGTTTGCCTCTTGGTTTGAGATCCAAAAAGGGCCGCCCTGCCAGGTGGCGCCAAACAGCAGTCTTTTGTGTGGCTGTTTGATTCCGTTTTACTGCCTTCCGCGGCTCGGTCTGCTCGATTCGCGCTCGATTCGCGTTCAGGACAGCCTGGTAGGACTGGGGAGCGAGCCTGGAGGTCCCCAAGGGCCCCCGACGTCAACTACTTGGCTTCTGGTTGCCAAGTAAGTTGAAGTTTACCCTAACACCTCCAAAAAACAAGTTAATCTTGAAAACCAATTGCATCTTGGAGATTAGGCAGTTGGGTTCCCTATTCAGTGTCAAGGATTCTTCACCAAAGAATGGTTTCAGCAGCACAGCATTGGACCACTTGCAGGGTGAGAGTGAGGTTGGACTGCGGCCTCGGTCACTTTAGCAAACACTTGGCTTGCACCTTTTCTCGTGGGCACGTCGCAACATGATTTTTTCACACTCCGTTTTTTGAGATGCACCAAAGGAACGGTAACAGCAAGATAGTCCAACTTCTGAGGATGGCGCTGGGGTTCATTTTGCAACCTTCCCGCGTCAAAGTGCAACTTTGGCTCTAACTTACTTGCCCCGTCGCATGGGAGGCTACTTTGCGCTCAGGTTACCTGTGCGCGTAATCTTTGGCGTCACCGTCTTTTGGACACGTACCCTCTGTTGCTTTCTCCTTGAGCCTGCAAAAATGCGCGTGTTTGGCGTTTGGGAGGCAAGCCCCTGGAAGAAAGACATAGCCCCTTGTTCCCTTGGTGGAATCTCTGGGGTTGGGCAGCACCCGCCATCACAACAGGACACCAATGGAACTGGGTTTAGGGTTGGTTTAGGGTTTAGGGTGGGCGTAAAAACCCACGAAAAGGGGCTCCTGTTTCCTTCCAGGGTCACCCGGCGTGCTTGCAGTGTCCCTGGTGGTTGCCCTCACACGGATCGCATCTCTAGCGCCACGCGACGCAGGAGTCGGGCTGGCGGCAGCTGACCTGACAGCAGCTTGCCTTACCAAAAGGAGGGATGGGGCCAAGGCCAAGATGATTCTAGGGGTAGCTTTCCCCATTCTTTCCAGGCATCCTTCTTTCTAAAACAGCTGGTTTTTGAACAGAACGGTGGTTGAAAAGAATGGGGAATCAACCCCTAGAATGATTCCCAGTTGCCATTCCAAAGAACCCCGGTGACACAGCACCTTTTCAAAAAGGAGGTGTTCCAGTTCGGTCTCATGCTCTTGGGGCAGGGCATGTTACACCAGGGATGGTAAGGCGAGTGATGCATGGGTCCCTCAGTTTCCAAATTGTGTTGGACCTCCAAAAGTCCAGGTGAAACAGAGAAATCTGATGACCCCGGTGACGTCTTCCATTGGATAGCTTGTGCCGTCTACTCAGAACGCAGAGCAGGGCCTTGGTTTAGCATGACGGTCTTCCCAAACCTGTCCGCTCCCATGGAAACCTCAAGCCATTCCCAGCCGCGTTGGTGTCCCTGGCCCAGATTGGCAGCCCGGGGATGCAACTGAGGTGGTGGTGCAGCCGAATGTGCGTCTCTTCGTGCAGCGGCTGAAGCACGAGGCCAGTACCGTGAGCCCAGCCGGTTGTTTGCCCCCCGGCTGATGGCCGGTTGGGGGCTCGAACATGTCTTTTGAACGCAAGGTCCCCGTGGCTTTACCGGCTTGCCTTCGAATAGTGAGTAAGAACAAGTTAGCGGGGCCGCGATATCGGTGCACCCATTTCGGGGGAAATCTCAAGATGCGTGCCATCTGTACCCAGATAGGCAAGCCGGTTGTTGGTTATCAGAGGTTGGCTATGTTTAGCGGGGAACCCAATAAGTAAAAAGGCAAAAACTCCCCGCCCGCACGCCACGCAGCTTAGCATGGAGCTGCTGAGTCCCTTTTTTTGGGTGCCGTGTAATTAAAAGGCTGTACCCCACAAAAGGTTCTGATATTGATTTCCCTTGCCGACGGCACTCAAACCTTTGTTCATTTTGGATGCTGGAAAGAGGGATGGAGACATCAAAGACTTTGTGCCCTGAGTTCCATATTGTGTTTTGGGGTTTGTGTTTTGTTTTGGGTTTAGGCCGCCAACATGGCTTCAGGTTTTCTTTCTATCTTCTGCAATCACAAAAAAGGGGGGTACCCTCAAGTCCTGATTTTCTGAGGTTTGTTGGAAAGGATCCCTGGAAAGACTGAAATGGACGGGGCCCTAGGCCCATACCCTCCGCTCCCTCGATTTTGAAGCTCTGGTCCTGGTAGAGGCTACATGTGCGGCCCAACACACAGCCTTACCCTCCGACATTCGCCCCCTCTTGAAAAAAGGTCAAATATTTGGATCAACACGTTGGACCAACCTTTCCACATTCATCTAGTCTAGGTCCCCCAGTAGTGCCCTTTTACAAACCTTTTTCGGTGGGGAGGGTTCCCTACTAAAATAGGCTACAGAAAAAGAGCTGGTACCCTTATCCCAACCTCTCTACTGGAGGACCTAGTGTTGACCCCAAAGGCTACCCTTATTCCATATTCTGCCCCCTCTGCTGGACCTAGTGTTGACCCCCAGAATTTGGGTTCTCTGCTGGAAGAAGTTGGGTGGCCCAAAGCTCAGACCCCGGGTCCCAGCTCCTTGTCCCGGCCATCCCCGGCCCCGTGGCCCCGTGGCTTGCAGGACCCCAAGGTGCGATGCGCCGCCTGCTGGGCGCTGGGCTTCGGGGCGGGCACCGCCGTGGGCCTCGCCACGCCGCTCGAAGTGGTGTCGGATTGGGCCGGAGGGGATGGCCACGCGCTGCTGGATGTGCCAGGGTCTCCGTTTTTTGTTTTGTTTTTTTTTTTGTGTGTGTGTGTGTGTTTAATCTCTTACATGAGAAAGTTCTTGTATTTGCCCCTATTGGTTTTAAAGGGAATGTATGACTACTGTACTCGTTCCTATTTTTTCCGCGGGGCTGAAGCAAATGGACGTTTTTGTTGCCTGGCTGGTGTTTGGAAGGGAGCCGTTCCGGAGCCGAACGTATCCAAATCAGTTTTTAAAGCGGAGCTACCAGGGGTTCTGACGTGGTAGTTGTGTTTTGTTCTTGTGTTGTTTTTGCTTCTGTGTCTTTTGAGCAACACGCTCTGGTCGCCATGGTTTCGTTGGGTTCTTTTGGGTGGGATGGTCTTTGAAGGAATGCGGGTAGAGCCGCATGTTCCTTTTGACTCAGCAGCTCGGCGAGCTCTCCCGATTTCTGAGCTGTGCACAGGCAATCTGCAAGATCCTCCCTTATGCAGGAACATGCACACGTAGTTTGTTGTTTTCTCGTGTGTTTAGACTGGGATGCTGTCTGAGTAGACGAAAGGTAATGAAGGGACCTGAAGGGAAATGCAGCCAAGAACCCGCCTCTTTGTGCCGGACCTTGAGGGCAACGGTAGAGGAACCCTGGCTAATGCATACAGGGCCATGATGTTTATTTTATTTTTTTGTTCCTTCACTTCTTGGATGGGCACCTAGGGTATTGCATTGTTTTGGGGAACAGTTTTGTAGAATACCAACCTGGCCAGAACGGAAAGGTTGAGCTTCTATCTCATGGGTTTTGCGGGCTTTTGGCTGAGTTGGAGACCTGGATGACCTGGCTTTCAGATAAATCGAGGGGGGACCTGAAATGAAGAGGTTAGCTCCCGTGCGGGGTTGCTCCTGAGAGCTCGCTCAGGATGGCAGACCTTCTGGTCATTGAATCGAACCCGCTGCTCCTGCTGGTGACCATCGAGGTGAATCGCCAGTGGCTTCCTTTGGCTGAGCTGTCGGCTTTCTGAGCTGGTTAGTCTGTCAACGTCAGCACCACCTCCTCTGATTTTGGCTGTGGTGTGTGGCTCTGGAGTTTCTTTCCAATTAACGGGAACTTTAAAGGAATAAGCAAATGGTTATCTGGGGTGCGAGCACCTGGCCCCTGGAACGCAGGGGCCAAAATCCGAGGTAGGTTGGGAGTGCCGGACAGTGCGTGGCTACACGTTCGAGGTTAGGTTAGGACATTAGGAGCCTCTCGCCAGAAAGGTTCGAAATATAAGGTCCAGGCAGACCCATCTCTCACCACAATGTTGACCCCATATTCATCAACTTTTATTAATGGGTGGGTGTCCTTGGTTAAGTGGTGAATCAGGCCACTTTTGGAGGGCCCCCACCCCCTCTATTAACTACAAAACTGGGGTTGATTGCTATGGGGTCAACATTGGATGAAACCACCCATGTGATTTTTGGCACCTCAGATGGCCCTGGGTTGTTTAACATCAAGAAACGTCCCAGGCCCCATGCCGGGCATTGCAGGCCATGGGCTTTATGGGCCTGGAGGTGCTGGCGGCGGCGCCGGAGCTGGGGCTGCGCCTCGAGGGGGTACCGAAAGGCTGTGAGCCGTTTTTTTTTTTTTTTTTTTTTTTTTTTTTTATATATATATATATATATGTATTTATTTATGTGGGTGAATTGTAACGACCTCACACGACCTCACCCCAAATGGTGGTTTATGTACATGTGTTTGTGTTTTCCCCTTGCTACAAGGCCCCTGTTCGACAAGAAGTAAAATCGGATGTGTTCCTTTTGTTTCCCTTTTGGTACCCGCCTAGGGTAGCCTCCAAAAAGTATCAGGTATATTGAATTGGTGATGTGGATTGGTGGATTTGGAAGTGGATTTGAGCCCCTGGTTCTTGTAGAGGGTAGACGGGAACCCCCTCCTTAACCATTAAACCACCAATCCAAACCAACAGGGAAGCTGATTTAAAGCAGACTTACCCATGTTTTCGCGTCATTTACCCTCCTTGCAAGAAACACCATCCAACTGCTGGTTTTATAGGCATCCCTGAAACGGTTCATTCCCCACCCAAATTGTCCTTCCCTGAGCACCAGCAAGTTGTTGCGCCATTTTGCCTACAGGTTGTTCGGTTTGTATTTGTTCTTTTGGTTTTGGAAGGTACTTTCGTTTTGTTGTAGGTGGTTGGAGGCTTTTTGTAGCGTTGGTGGCGAGCAAACAGCTTGGACTCTTTTTGGCCAATCCACTTCGCACGAGAGTTGCTTGTAAAGCTTGTATTTTTTTCGGCTAGTGTCCCGGTGTTCGGTCGCGGGGGATTCCCATACTTTCAAGAGGGGGCGAATACATGGAACCTACGAGAACAAGGGCTCCAAATCAATCTTTAATCCTACCAGCTGCCAGATGGTAGCATGTGGTGATCCACCATTGCAGATTAGGATGCCTCAGCCCATGTTGAAAGACCCAGCTCATGGGTTCCCAACCGAACAATACGCAGGAGGTGAACTTCGACCCTGATAGGGGAAGATGAATGATTTGCCCCGGTCACCTTGAAACCTCACCCCACCCATGGGACATTCAATCAGGCTTGGCAACCAAGCAGTTGATGCTTCAAAACTCAAGTCAAGCAACCAGGTGTTTGCCTCCAAATTGGATCTATGCGGGAGGCCCCAAGTAGAGACCAATCCACATGCCCCACTTTCCAATGGGCCTCCGTCCCTTTGTCAGTTGGCCATGTTTTTTAGTAGGGAACAATCCCCATCGAAATTATGTCCACCAAAGCGCTCGTATTTAAAGTCATGCGCATGGCTTTCTTGGCTTTCATTTTCCGAACGGCGGTTTTTCTTGTTCCTCTCTCAGCGCGGCCGCCCATAGGATTCCGGCAGTTAGGGGGGTTGGGATCCTATGAAACTGGTGATCACATGTTATTCTAAGCCACACCACCCCATTCTGAAGAGAAAACCCAATTATCCCCCAAAATGGATGCAACAACAATTGCCATCGAAGCAGTCCACCCAAGCAAGGCTAAAACTCAACTGTTCCCATTCTCTCCCTTTGCCGACTCCCAGCAGCCCACCAGGCCTCTCCCAAGCAGGGGCGGTCAGCCTTGCCCTTCTTATTTTGCCCACATCCATGTCATGAATCATTGCCAAGGCGACACTGACAAACATAAAGCCCGTGGCTTCACGGCAAGCATTGAAGCATCCTGCTGATGGCACCGCGGGCCCCTCATCAGCCAACCCACCAAAGTGGTGCCCGCGATCCAATTTTCCACAAGCTTCCAATTCACTTCCTCATTCTTTCAATGGGGGCCCACGCAGCAGCCCACGCAGCAGTTGTCATCACTTTCGGGAGGAAAGACCGGAAATCCTAGAAAATTGGATGCTTGGAAAGAATGGGTTTTAACCGAAAATATGGCCTCATACAATACTTCCCCATTCTTTCTGGTTTTCCAATTTTCACCCAAAACAGATGCAAAAGCGGAAAAAAACAACAAGTAACAGGGGCACACTGATCTTTGATCGAAAGAACGATGCTGGGGGACAGAATGATGGGTGGGGAAAGAAGGGAAATAATGATGGTTGTTGGGGAAGAACGATGGTCGGGGAAAGAACGATGGTTGGGGAAAGAACGATGGCCCTGGGGAAAGAACGATGGTTGTAGGGAAAGAACAATGCCCCTGAAAACAGAACGCTGCCAGTAAGATCGATGGCCTGCAGCGGCATGAATTTGGAAGGTCAGGGGAAGGGGTTGTCTAGTCTATTGGCCCTACCCCTAGCCCGCGGAACAACTTTCTGCATGCGTCAGTGCTCGCTGCAGAAAAACACAAACTGAGCCGAAACCGGCTGGAAAGACCGATCGTTGCACTGAGTGCCCGTGTGACGAAAGAATGGGGAATCAACCCTTAGAGTTATTGTCTCCTGGCGCCTTGCGGAAGCAATGAACGTGTTCCGTTTCCTTGCTTGGCACCACGCTTGCAAGAATGACAACTTTAAGCCAGTTGGTCGCTGCTTAGCCTGTGCCACAAAATTAGTCGCATTTCTACCCCCCGGTGGCAACAGCCAACAGCTATGCTTTCTTTGCAGATCCCGGTCTTAGCTGACGCGTTCTGGCATCTTCCAGTTCTCACCCAAACGGTCCAAGGTGCCTCAAGACCTTCCTGAGCCAGGCCAGAGAAGAGGCGAGTCCCGAGTTTGGGTGGGTGGGGCGCTGAAGGAAGCAACGTTAACAGGGCTCCTTAAAAGATACATTTTGCAACCATTTCAAGCATGGCCTTTTCCACCAAGATAAAGGGACACCTCCATTTACTGGGCAATGTTCAGGTGTATAATGTAAGGATCCCTGATTAAACCTAGGCATTCACACCCACCCGCGCGAGTCCGCCAATTCTACGGCATTCTGTGGCGAGCGACTCTCCACCGTTTCGGAAAAGCGAGCGTAGCAGCTTGGTCCTTTGTCGGGGTTCCATTTTCCGCATTTGACGTGCAAGAGAGTAAGCCAAGGTTGAAAAGCGTCATCCTGAAAACTTGGTGCCCATTCTCTTAAAAGCCTATTCAACGTCTCGGCAGCCATGGCAGCGAAGGATGCATAGCACATGGACTTCCACCCCCCAAACAATGTACAGGGCGGGTTCTGCGTAGGCCTTATGACGTCCAGTGTTGGGGATGTGCGTGGGTCACGCTTCCTTGCAAAGACGGGCTATTCCATAAGCAGGCGACCCTGCTAATGAAAACTTGTGCCAGCGATATGGCACCTGCTAGCCCTTTGTTGGCCTTTGGAGGATTCATGCCCGAAATCGATGAAACTGCCAGGACAGGGTGCCCATAGAGGCGGCGGACGAAGCTGTGAGGCAGTTGGGTACGAAGACCCTGCTGACGTTACACCAGGACGGGGCAAGGCCACGGAGTTCATTCTGTAAATTACCTCCATTTGCTTAAGTGTTTTTTGTTTTCTCCCTTGTTGGTTTCAAAAGGAATTCATCACTAATGGACATATTTTTATTTTTCCCTGGGGCCTTAACCAAGTGGAATATTATTGAAAATACATTCCCCCCCCCACTGAAATATGGAATCGACCATGCGTCCTTTTGAGCAGATACAAGGCACATCGCAGAACCCGACCATCATGCAAAACCAAGAGGCAAGAAGCTCGGGTTGCCCACAATAGTCCTGAAGCACTGGATTGCGTGACCCTAGCAAAACCCACTGAGTGGAGTTAACGCAGTTAGTGGGTTGGAACTCAAGAAACCACTTTCCTTGGCCGAAGGTCCAAGGAATTCGCCCGGCACTAGGAGATAGTGAAGGTCATCGGCCGCGCCATTGGCAAGAACCCCCGGGTCAAGGACGCAGTCGATCGAGCCCAGCACTATGCTTCGAGGCGAATCGGATGGCCCGCTTGCGTGGTTTGAAGGTGGTTTAATTGGGTGTTTGGGCTTGGATGCGCCCAGGGAGTGGTCAATAACCCTGGTTCTCACAGGCTTGGGGCCACCAAGCTGGGCCTTTTGATTGGGTGTTCGCGCTGTGTGTCTCTTGTGTCATGGGCTCTTCTTTCCGAAAACGAGATTGAAAAGGGGCATCGCCAGGAAGCCAGAAGAACATGAATGCATAATTTTGGGCATGTGCAGCTTGGGCTGGCGTAACTCGAGTTTTGATGGAGTATGAGGGCAGATTTGGGCGACCTAGTTCTTCAGGAAAAAGGGCAATCACTGAATGGCAAGTCACCATGCTTACAACCCATGCCTGCCCCTGTTGCAATGTTGCAATTGCCTTATGGGGAGAATTTCCGTCGTTACTCAGCCACCTCTGCTATACCAAAAGGCTTGCTTGCCTCCTGAAGTCTGGCATGACTTCCCGCATGTCATTGCCCTGGACGGTTGTAGAGGTTGTTTTGCTTCTGCATCTACAGCCATCAGCCATGGTATGAAATATGTCGAGAAAAACTCATTTGCCAGGAAGCTGCTCCTGCATGCCCACGGGCGCGTTTGCGCGCACCGACTTGGCTGTCTAGGGAAAGCATGTATTCCTGCATATGCCTAGGTCTGCATTGAGCATTTGACTGGCGAAAGGAAGCAACCAACAAAGCACGTGCTTCGCGCTTCGCTGCCCCAATAAGAATGTTTGTGCAAGATGCGGCCTTACACCAAGCATGGAAGTGCACAGAACCCCTTTCCACGAAAAGAGGCCTTCCAAAGGGCTCCACGACAATTATTATGACGCCTTTTGGGGGTGATTCGCATTTTCATTTTGGGCCAATGTAAAGTGACTCCTTTTGGTGATCCGCGGGGAAGCCCGAATCCCGAAGCCAGGATCGGGCGGAAGACCCATGTGCAGCGAGAGGAGGGCGTGCCGTGGAAAAATGCGGGCAGTTGGCCTTGGGGTTCCAGCTCACGCATGTCGGGGGTGCGAGCTGATGCTTTTTCTGGGGATCCCTTATTTCAGGTTCTGAATTTGTTGTAGAAAAGGGAGTCGCATGCTGACCCTGGTTTTCAGTTGTTCAGTAGATTTCAGTAGCACCTTTTTGCCTCTTTTGCATTGGCATGTCCCTTGACGCATGAGCCAACCAATGCCATTTTCACTCGCAAACGAACGCACCCTAGCTTTCAGCGACCCTAGGTTAGCCATTTAGGTAGCAACCTTGACCTGGGTTCCTAGACCCAAGGAAGGATGTGGAGCACCCCGGACCTGTCAAGACCAAACTTCTTCCTTTTGGAGGCGAGGTGAGATGAGACCATTGGACAAGCTTCCGGATCCCTGTCCCAGGCCTTTGGCCCGCATGCTGTCGCTGTTGAACTATTCGTATTTGTTTAGATGTTTTTGTTCGTTGATGGCACCCTTTTGACAGGTTCTGGTGTCGTTGTTGAAATATGTGTATTAATTCCAAGGTTGTTTTTTTTGGATGGGACGCTTTTGAAGCGTTCATGCACGCACATCCCCTGCTTGAAAACCCGCGGGTTTTCCGGCCCTTTGTGTTCTCTCAGCTGGAACCATAAACCGCATGCCTTGTGGTAGTATCCACGAGTAGGTAACCCTAGCAAACCACCTCATAGTCAACAGAAAATGTCCCACAGTACTACAGTAGGTAACAGAAAGCTAAAGAAGGTAGCAGCAAACGACGCCCCAACCAAACAAATGCCCTACAGTAGGTGCCCACATAGACACATGGACACCATGTGTACCATCGAAGTAAAGTTCACCTAGGTGTTTATGGCTGAACTGTTGGAAACCAGCCCGCGAAGGATCCAAGCAGGCCATGGGCTTATGGGCGTATACCGTCGCTGCTCGGAACTTTACGAGTTTGATTTGCAGTTTACTAGGTTTCGTCATCAAAGTAGTTGAGGTAAACAAAAGGAGAGGTGAAAGTGGATGGCACACATCCCACATGTTGATTTAGTCATTGCCCACGGAAAGGGGTGGTGTCGTCTACTTTTACCTGGTGCAACATAAGGGGCAACATAATTTCCAATACCTTACCACTATAGTCATGACTACGTTTGCTGTTCTAGTGTACCCCTACCCCGTTCGATTTATTTTGGCCCTGACTTTCAACAGGGCTGCTCCGCACCTGGTGACCCAAGCAGGGTAGACCATTGGCATTAGGTCCTGTTGCCTTCCTTCACTGCCCCAAAAGATTGGTCTCTCTAGAAATGGATTTCTGGGCTTCATCAGACAGAAATGCAGGGGGGCCCGGAACCCCAGAAGCTTCGTCCTTAGAAATCCATGGGCGTTGCGGGGGATAATTCTCAGCTTCTCCGTTCGTGGCTTGGATTGGGTGGTAACTGGTCCAATTAGAACCAGGGGGTCCACCGAGTTCAACTTCCAGGGTTGTGGGATCACTCGGGGTTCATCCCCACTTCTACCAGGGGCTCTCCTGTGTTTTTTTTTTGGGGGGGGGTTAGTCTATTAGTCTTTGGGGTTCGGCCCTTTGTGTATCACAGATCGTGGGTTCCATTTCAACCGCAGCCCCGGCTTCAAGGCGAGGGCAAAATATGATCAGCTGATCCGGCCGGATCTCAGGTGGAGGCGCTCATGGGGTTGCAGCTGCCCCACGTGGCGGCCATCACCGCGGATTGGCGAGCATTTTTTTTTGTGTCTGCGTTTTTTTTGAGAGAGCCGCAGGCCAGGCCCAGAAAAGCCTGGTATCCAAGTTTGGGGTCTCTCTTTTTTTGTGTTTGTTTTTTTTGTTTCGTCTTCTTTTTTAGGGGGAGCAGTTCATTGGTCCGCTTCCCTTCAACTAGTGGTTTAGTAGTTGGGGCGGTTTCCCATTTACCCTGGACAACAAGGTTGAAATCCCCACCAATCCAAACCACCAATCAAGGGTTTGGAATTGGAGCCGCCAGGAGAATCCCCCTGTGTTGCACGTTCCCCCTGGTTGGCAGGGCAGTGGTTTGCACCAGATAAAAGGTGGTCCATCCAAAAGGACCATTTGAGCTGCACTCACAACTTGGGCATGTGAAGGTTAGTAAGGGGCTTCCGTCTGGCCGGCCCTTTGGTTGTTTGCCCAGTTTTTTTGGGGGGGTAGACCTGCACAATAATGCCACGCTTGATTTCGATCCATGCCTTTAGCCCATTGTTTTTCGTAGGCCCGCACTTGCAAAAGGCGATTCTGCTATGTCCGATCCTTTTGGGATAAGTTCACCTCAGGCCCAATGATAAGGATTGACAGCATAACTTTTCTGGGTTCGAGCCTTTGGAAGTCGAAGAGATCGCTGCCTGGTCCAAACGTGGTGGTCCGTTCGCTTTTGCCCAGCACACAAAGCCGAACAGAAAGTTGTTCATTTGCGACGTGATGCGTGACATGGACTGCAACATGCAGTCACGATCGGCTTTGGCCTTTGGTTGGAGGGCGCGTTGTGCACTTGGATTCGCGGCTGGGGAAAGTCTGGTGTAGAGAGAGAGAGAGAGAGAGAGCAAGAGAGCAAGCAAGAAGCACAAGGAGAGAAAGTGAACCAAGGCGAAACAGCGAGAGAGAAGGACACCAAAAGGGGGGGGGAGGGACAAAAACAAGCTCCGAACTTTGGGGCTCTTGTTTGGTGGAACCTGGGGGCTGGGCCAAGGAACTGCTACGCATCATCCTGGACCCAGCCTGCCCTGGCGCACAGCACCTTGTAGATGGGAGACAGAGGGGTGGGGGGGGGTCTGGATGAGGCGCCTGTGGCTTGACCGTTTTCGCCCTGGTCCGGGGGTTCCGGGGGCATGAGACTAACTCCAGGCTGAAGGCTGTTTCACGAGAAAGGGCGCGCTCAGCCAAAAGCCAACCTGGCTCTTGAAGACCGAGCTGGCTGAACTATGCTCACGAATCGCTTTTCGCATGCGCAAACCTTTCATGAGGTCGCTGTGCTCTAGAAACCGTGCTTTCGTGGATCCACCCCTGTAGAGTATGAAAAGAGTACTAAGAGATAGATAAAAAAGAGAGGGAAGAACAGGCGAATCCACCAAAAGACACATCCAAACCGTTTCTTCACCCAACACCGGCGAGGCCCGTTGGATGGCCCACAGTCCCTTGCCCGGTTGCCCAAAAGATCTGGGAGAGCTAAGGGCTGGCGCGCCCAGCGGCTTGGCACGAATAGCGGGGCATGGCGAAATGGGATACGTAAAAAAACGCACCCACACACATCTGTATATGTTTTATATATGTATGAATGTGTATACGCACGTATGTAATATACAATGTATATATGCATAAATGTACATGCGCGTGTATGTACATACATATATCCACAATATAAGAGTTGTAGTTATAGAGCTCGTCTTTTGCCAGCGGGGGTAGGGCATGCGGTGGCAAGATGGACATTGGCCCGGGAAGCCTGAAGAGGCGTGTGGTCACACGAAGATGCAACGGCTGCATAGTGAGCAATGCTTACATGTAGCCATGCTCGGAAGTTGGCCAGCTCCCTACCGCATATTTGCTAAGCAGCTTGAACATCCATGATTTGCTGGTGGAACGACGTGACGTTATTTGGGTGATATGTTCCAGCTACATTGCGCCCAGACCTTTGATGGTGGATAGGGGGCATGGGGAAGCGCAATTCCCCCTTCTCCCCTCAACCACCAATGAAGCTGGTGAGAACCCAGTCAGAAACACCAAGAGCGTCGAAGAACCATGTCCCATCCCGTTTTGCACCTCCCATGGAAATGGGCAAGTTCTCGGAAGTGTTCGCATTGCCAGCCCGCGAGGCTGAATGACACAATTCGTGTCACTTCCATGCGCATAGATGGCCCATAGACGGCCCTTGCCTTCGAAGGTTTGTACCTCGCCATCGAGACCCTGGAAAAGTTCAGGCGGGAGCCCGAACAGATGGGCCGCCCCTGCAAAGGGCCCCGAGTTTCCTGAAAAAAGGAGGGACCCAACTGGCAAAACACGGGGGGGCTGGGAACAAATCGGGGCATTTGAGCAAAATGCCCCAGGTCAAAGAAAGGTAAAGGCATTTGTTTTGGACCCATGATGCTTGGCCATTTGTGGCTCTGAGCTTGGCTTCTCAATTTTAAGCTTCGGTTTTTACATTCCGCCCTTGACCCCTTGACGAGGCACATCAATTGAAAGGAGTCGATCATTGGCAGCCCATTTTGCACAACAAGAAATGTTCAAGATTGCCACCGCGCACCCTCCAGACAATGAGGGTTCTGTATGGCCAGGCCTGCATGGGAATTGTCTCTCCGAGTTGTTTTCCCCACACTTCTATGGCGCAACCGTGGTAAGGGAGGTGACATTGCGTGCATACACCCATTTTCCAGTACAGCATGGGGGGGGGCTACACTGCTCACATTGCCATGTCAGCTGCGACGATGAATATTGGCAGCAAGGCAACTTGAAGCTCCTGAGCTTGACGGACGAAGTATTGCTACATCAAGACAGAGGGCTTCTTATGTTTCCCTGGCTCAGCCAAATATCAAATGTTTTGTGCATCTTTCTTTGGGTGAGGAAACCCTGCACGAAGCGCCCGCCTCTCGCAAAGTTGTCCCCGCTGGGCCATGTTTTCGGAGTGGATTGGCTGGAGGGTGAAAGTTAGGGGGTCTGGCAAAATGTCAAGCTACCTTTCATCCCGCGTATGGTCTGTCTTGAGGACTATTTAGCATTTGGTTGTTGATGCCACATGGCCAACCTTTTGGGTGTGGCGTGTGTTTGATTTGGCTGTTCCGAGAAGATTGGTGAGTTTGGCGAATTAACTCAACATAATTGTTGGCCGTGGTCCCACTTGACAACAGTTTCAACTACACCGTCGTGAAGCAAACCACCTGGAGAGGCCCAACCTACTGACATGCCAAGCCGAAACAACACATCATAAAAAGGTTGGACCAAATACTCGACGGAAGTTCAGTGTCACCTCTTGTCCGTTGTTCAGTGCATGGTCAGCCCCAACAGGTTTCCCATTACACTGGATTTCCCCTTCACAAGCTGCAATTCACTGATGGTTTCCACTAAACAAATCCACGTTTGGAGGAATGCAGAAAACCCGGCCACACGCGAACAGGACCCTGGTTGCAACTGGTTCTTTTGCGCCGCTTTGCGGCCTTTCCGATTTCTTCTTCGGAGCTCAGGGAGGCGAAGTTGATGGGCGGAATGGACATGAGCCGCTCGGGGACGGACATGGTGAAAGGGCTGCTTGTCTGCCTGGAGGACTCGCCGGGTTCAGTCAGCAGACATCAGTTTTGTCTTGCCACATCCCAAGCCAGTCATCAGTCACCAGGGCTTTTGCAGTAACATCCTGAGAGAGCCAGGCACCAGTTACCACACACTGCAAATCACCAGTTTAAACCAGCGATCAGCGGTTAGCTGGGAGTTGATCAAAGGGTCATGTGCATGGGACGACTAGGGAAAGATATTCTATGACTTTCCCACATGGTTGAATAGCTACCCATCATGATCATTTGGGGCCGAGCGGAATATTGATGAACCCCAGCCAATCCAAACCGCTACTTTCTGTTGACTGTGTTTTTGGCGAAACCAAGCTGGGCTTCCCACCTAACCCCAGCTGATGTTTTCCGGGCTACGCCCATCTAGCAACAACTTCGGGTTTCTCCGAACCTCCAAAAATGACCAAGCCTCCAGGGCAGAAAATTGGTCGGCTTTAGGCGTGCGGAAGCCTACAGG